ACGGACACAGTATGGGGTGAAGTATGGTCAAAAAATAACCCCGCATCTTGACTGACACGTCACTGACGAGGGTCGTTCCCTTTCTGGAATGCGGCCCATCGTCGTCATCATTGTCAACATCATTGTTATCGTCATGATCATCACAATCATCATTGTCATCATCATTATCGTCATGATCGTCATAATCATCATTATCATGATCGTCACAATCATCAAATCATCATTGTTATCATCAATCATCATTGTCATCATCATTGTTATCATGATCGTCACAATCATCAGTCATCATCATGATCGTCACAATCATCAGTCACAATCATTGTCATCATCATTGATATCATCATGATCGTCACAATCATCGTCATCATCATCCCTGCTGAAGAGTTTAAAGCGGAGGTGACGATCACCCCTGGTGACGATTTGTCGCGGCAGCTGCTGCTCAGCAAGTCACGAAGCGCGCACGACGGCACGGCCACGTGCGCCGCTGTTGCCGTCAGAAATGTGGCGGAGGGCAAGACCGGAGGAACCCGGAGAGAAATCCACGCGGCCGCCACGGGACGAGAGACAACAAGCAGACTCCAAATACACAACAGGCATCGTCAGGGTCCGGAATCGAACGCACAACCTCCTGCGTAAACCGGCGAAGGAGAGAGGATCTCTCCGCCAAGGTGCCGCTCGGCAATTTGCCCCATTGTTGGTAATGACACACTGGCTGGCACGCCATCACCAAACAATCCGACAAGCAAAAAAACATTTGTATGCCAACACTTTAACTAGGCCATTCATCTTCTTGTCATGCAAATGCAGTGAAAGTACTCATTATTAGCCAACTGCCTTAATCTATTTACATTATTTACTAAGATTTAAATATGCCCATACACGTAGAAATGCATTTGAAATTTGTTGTAGAACTGGGTTGTGTGTCACTGAATTTACGTTTTTATTGTGTTTAAATAATGCAGCCGAAACGCATGTTCATATGAAATAAGTTTATTTAAGTTGAAACTTTTTCTTTTTTCGTGTACAACTTCAAATGTACAACCATTTAGATGTATTTATTTTTAAAACACAAACCAAAACATCTGCTAACATCGAAACGACAATTTCTCAAGACGGAAAACATAGAAAGGTTTTAACATAAGTATATTAATTTCACGATTCAATGCGCCACAGCACACCGATCTCACTGGCGAGAAGAAACGAGTCCATTCATTACCTACGCAATGCACAGTAAAACCTCGTTATTGCGGTATTTGATCATTCGTAATTGGGGATCATTCAGCACGGCTGCGCTTTCG